CCCCCCCCCCCGCATCTGCTCACCTTTGCGCATGAAGGGGGAGACACCCTGGTCCATGAGGTGGGAGGGCACCATGCTGTAGTTGGTGGTGGGGTTGTCCCGCATGGCCTCAAAGGAGGTGTGCCGGGTGATGGTGTCCAGCACTGCCCCTGGCAGCTCCCGACCCAGGAACTGGGCCACCTTGGTAATCTCCCGGCGGAGGTCCTGTGGGACACAGGACGATGCTCTCCCCTCCTGCCACCCCCCAAGACTCCACACCACCATCCACTCCCATCCCTCACCTCCTTCAAGTCCTCGTAGAAGAGGTAGAGGATGGGGTGATCCTTCCTCCGCTCCCAGTAGCCCCTGACATGATCGTACCAGGACCCGTATGCCACTGCATGCAGAGAGAGGGCAGGGGTGTCAGTGGGTGACAACACCCAGCAGGGTCCCCACATGCACCCATGGGTGCCATGCTCCACCTCTGCCGGCCATGAACTCCTCCAGGTACTGGGCCCATGTCCCAGGGTGCGGGTGTAGCTTGTTCATCAGGTCAAAGTGGTAGAAGGAGACAGCCACATCCTTGGCATTGCGCCCCACATAGATCATCTGTGGAGAGCTTGGTGACACACGGGAACTTGCAAGGTCCCAAGGGGCTAGATCTCATCCTTATTTCTGCTGGGTCCCTCCAGGTGTATTCCCTCCAGCCTGTTACCTTGCAGTGGTTTTCCCAGAAGGATTTGGGCAAGATGTGAGCTGGGATGTGGGTCTTGATTATGCGAGGGGACTCCATGGCCTCCAGCTGCTCCGTGCCTTCAAAGGAGATTTCCCTCAGGAGCGTTCCTACTGCTGGGGGGATCTACCCGCCAGACGAAGCCTGCCGCCCTTCTGGCACCCTCTGCTGCTCCCTGCTGCCTTGCTACCTGCTAGCATCTTCCCAGGGGCGGCGAACTCCAGCATGGGCACTCGGTTGACGATGGCATCCTGCTTGCATTTTTCGTGGTCACCGCCTTTCAGGATCATGTCCACGATCTCACTGACCCAGGTGGTGCCTGATGAGAGGTCGGGCATCTGGCCGGCACCATTCCCACTGGAACCCTCTCTTGGGCACCAGAGGGACACCACCTGCCGGCATTGCCTCCCAGCATCCCCCCAGGTCCCAGCCTGAGGCGGCCACAGGCTGGTCCCTCGCTTCCTGAGCACGGTCCCTCTCCAGTGCCCAGGGACACTCACCCGATTTGGGGAAGGTGACCACCACGATGCGGATCCGCTGCCAGTCGCGGGCGAAGGCGCTGACCATGGGGATGCCGTGCACCATGCGCCAGGGCTGCCGCAGGAAGGCGTCCGGATCGGCCATCCTGCCGGGGACAGGTTGGGGGGCTGGCTGGAAGCAGGGAACATCATGGGGCCACTTCGTTCCCCGGGGTCCCCCAAATCCCTGCGGAGCCCAGCCACAGGGAGGAAACGGTCCTCTGCTTGCTGGCAACCCGAGAAGCAGCAACGGCCTCCGCCCGGGATTTTGGGGGCCGGCTGGTGGCGCAGGGAGCACGGAGGGGCAGGGGCAGCCCTGGGAGCTCAGGTCAGCACAGCTGCCCGCACCAAGCTGGCAGCGCTGCT